AACCCAAATAACCAAACAAAGGGAAACCAGAACAGTGGCGAGATCAGACCCATAGCAGAAATGAGCAAAATCCAATCAACCAAATAGCCGAATATGCAAAAGCTTCAAAGGTTTGCCACGGCTATAAAATCCATACTATTATAAACTACTTTTCTTTTTGGGTAATCATAATCTTATGTCAGAGAATAGCAGGGTTTAAAAACCCGACCCGGCCGAGATTAGGGGTCATGGAGTCACGGGTTCAATCGGAGGGTCACGGGGTCACTATGTTGACCCGATTTTATATATTAAAAATATATAAATATATATCATATATAAAAACATTAAAAAACAAACCACTAATTATCAAAGATTCAAAATATACTTAACATAATTCTCTAATTACAACCACAAGTCAATATTACTCAACCTAATTAAAGTATCAAGATACCAAAGTACAAAACTCATATTCTAATGGGATGTGACCCGATTCTGCCTCTTTGGAGAAGGTCCCTGACAAAGGAAAATTTAAAGGAAGTAAGAATGAGTTTTTGTTTTCCATCGACGACCGTAAGGATTTCATTTGAATAGATAAAATTCTTACATTTTCTAGAAGATTCACGTCTACGAGGTGAAGATTGAAGATATATAGGTCACTGGGAGAGAAGAGAACGATTAGATTTAGGTTTGCAAGCATTTTTATTTTTAATTTTTTAATAAAACGAAGTTGTTTTATGGATTTTTGTTAAAAAAAAATAAACATGCAGTGACCTTCTTTGACCTCTCTGACCCGGGAGTCACTTAAACCCCGTCGGGTTTTGGGGGTCGGATGGGTCGATGTGCATATAGGGTTCAACTTGTGACCCCAACCCTCAGAGGATAGGGGTCAGAGTTGACCCGGGTCAACCCGGGAGTGGGGTGAGGTTTTAAAACACCGCAGAATAGTGCTTTCTCCTCCTCCCCTCACATCGACAATTGTGCAATTTTTTGTTTTTTTTGTTTTTTGGTTTTAAAGGTCGACCCCACTTAAATTTGTCTCAGTTGTAGACAAATCTCCTTTACCGCAGCTGACGAAAAATAACACCCTTTCATGTTTGGTCAAAAATTTGTTTTTCTTATATAAAAAAAAAACAAAATTTGTTTTTCTCAAAGAGAAAAACATCTATCATTTTAAAAGATATAAGTTTATATCATTTTAGATCTTAATCGTTGATTTCCGTCCATCAACGGTTATAATCTATTGGATCAAACTTAATGGGCCAAATTTATTATTAATTAATTAATAATTTTAGTCCAATAAATTATAACCGTTGTTGGACGAAAATCAACGATTAAGATCTAAAATGATATAAGCTTATATCCTTTAAAATGACAGATGTTATTCCCTTTCTCAAAATACAATTATAATTTTATTCAAAAAATAAATTAAAATAGTAAACACAAAAGTGTTTTCTAGAATAAATAAAAGGATTAGTGTGATCCTCTTTTAAAGGAGGTAAGTTGTGTCCTTTTAATTTTTTACTCTGGTAGTACATAATTATAATATGAAAAGTTATTTTTTTCACTTTCCACTTTAGCTGATGTGACTGAAGAGGTAGAGATTTTTTCCTTGTTACAACTATGTATTACCGGAGTAAAAAACTAAAATAATACAACTCAGACCATTTTAAAGCACAAATAATTTTCCTAAATAAAAATACTAAAGGATCTACACAGTTAATAAAACGAAATGAGTCTTTTACTAATTATCTTCACGTATTACATATTTTTAAAATGTTCACATGTAGCACTATTTTTAAATTTTTATTTTTCATCGAATGTGTATTTTATTTATGTATCTAATTTACAATAATATCCATTGTTACGTGTTTCATCTGTTTTAAATGGAATTTTTTTTATTACATATCTGCTATATATTTTTTATTTTATTTTTTATAATTTATGATACTACAAATTTAATTTTCTTATACCATGATATTACATTTATATAAATGATATTTTTTCTTTGTGATAATTTGTATCAACTTTTTTTCCATTTCTTCTTTATTTTGTTTATTCTTATTTAATCGCTTTAATTAAATATTTCTTATAGATATTTACTTGAAAATTTTATATAAAACTATTGAAATTTATTTTAAGAATAAATATTTTCATCCTATGGGATTAAATTTTATATGAAAAACGTATTAATTTCCAAAGTGCAGGGATAAATACAAGATAAATGAAAACTTTACATAAATATATATATTAATATCTAAATAATGAGTATATATATATATGAATTATAGTAAGGGACATAATCAATATATACCAGTGTAAGAATAATAAATTTTACACTCAATCTTAACATTTGATGTTCGTTCATCAAACGACTGTAATTAATTGAATTATTCTTATTAATTAATCATTAATTTTTAATAAATTATAATTGTTATATATCAAAAATCAAAGGTCAAGATTAAGTGTAAGATTTGTTATTCTTATTTAAAAAAGTTCTACCACTTAAACTAATTATTTAAAATTAATGTACACTGCATGAGTATAAGCGCTGGAATATGAAAGGAGCTAGTGTTTCTTATATTATAGGCTATAATATTATCTTTTATATATGGGAAAAAAGTTTCCGATGTTACTTTAGATAACTTTATCTAATGTTCATCGAAACGACGTCGTTTTGAGGTTGAAAAATTAAAAAATTAGAGTGATAAAGACTATTATAACCTGAAATAAATTAAAATTACAAAAATACTATGATTTCCGTCTCAAAACAACGTTGTTGTGATGAACATTAGATAAAGTTATCTAAAGTAATATCAAAAAATATATAAGAATATGCAAAATCTATATTTTTTTTTCTCCCTCTTCTTTTCATATTATGTCATATAATTTTATATACTTTTATATGTATATAAAAAATAATTTTATCACTTATAATATACAAAACTTTAATTCCATAAAAGAATTTGAGAACTCATTGTTGCAATCTCATTTAAGAAATATAAAATATTTGTTTCGTGAGATCGAGATCACGAATCTCTGTGTAACTCAGATGTGCATATGGACAAACATCGAAGGTGTTTGATTTTCTAACGTGTCAATACATCAAGAACAATATAAAGCCTGTCAGGCCCTCCCCTAACATGTTATAAACACGTCCCTATGCGCAACTACGATAAAGAAATAAAAATGACGTACAGTAGCAATTGCAAACTTATAACTTTTGACATTGTAATCATCGCTTGATCAAACAAGTAATATTAGAGTAAGATTGGAGGTTCGAGTCTCCCAAATGTTACTGGAAAATATTTTGTTATGACTAACAATTAGTTTAATCTAAGGGTAAGTGTTTAATCCTATATAAGATAAAGTTAATTGAAACTCACCCTTTTGGTTAATAGATGGAAAATACTACTAATTAACATGTGAGTGAATTCAATAAAAGAATTTTTTTAGAACTAAAAGAAACACTTAAAATATTCGGGAAAGATCCGTCTATAAAATAATTTTATAAATTTTTGTAAATTATGTTATGTATTTCCGAGAGAACATAGTGTAATTTAGTATTCTCTCGAAAGAACGTAGTGTAGTTTGTAAATAAAAATTCTGTTAATATATATGATTAATGTAAAAAATTCAGTGACTTTACTCAGCCAATTGAAACATAACTAAAAAGTATTACTCTACTACATTGTTTTTTCTTTTTTAATTATGTATCGTGTACCCATTCTTGTACTACGTAAGAACGTTCAGCAATCTTAAACTATATGGTTGACTTATCAATGATTATTCTCAACAATAGTTCAGAAACGCCGTAGAAAGATAACTGATTATATATATATATATATATATATATATATATATATTCAAAGATGACTTTTGTGTTTGTTAGGAGGTAATTTTTATTTCCTACTTACAATATTTTTTCTTTTCCTCTATTCTTCTTACATGACTTTATAAGTGTACGTGAAATAGATAATTTTATCTTCTATAGTATACAAAATATTAAACCATTCAAAAAGAGTAATCATCCGGTTCTCGATTTTTAATTATCAAAATAAGAAAGTTCAACTTCTATAACAAGGGTAATAAACACTCATTTATAGACTAATTATAAATTACTACAAAATTCAAAATAAAAAATCCTTAAAATTAAAAAAAATCCACAATAAATATAAAGGTAATTAACTTCTAAAAATAAACAAATAATTATAATTAAATTATTTAAAATCCATCTCAAATCTTATATCTCAAATCATGTCAAATGTGTTATTTTTCATTTCTTCCCAAATAAATCATAATTATATCTGTTGTTTCATTTGGAATCGGATTTGATCGTAATTTATTATATTTCAAATTACTACTTCTTTTAACAATTGGACTATACTTATTGGGCTATGATTCTGGTTAACTCTGAGTTTTTTCAATCAATAGTTAAGTCATATGTAATGGTTTTCAGCAAAAAAATTCATATGTAATGGGACAACTATAAGGGCATCATTCTCTCTTAATAGAAAATGTATTTATTCTACTTTTAAAATATAGGAGATTTATTTATTCTACTTTAAATTGTGATTACATTGTTAGTTTTGTGATTTCAATTGATTTGTTTGATGAATATTTTTTAAAATAAAACAAATTACAAATATTTTTGAGAAAAATATAGAGATGAATAGAAAAAGATTCACAAACTTAAAAAAAATTCTTATTGAGTGAAGGGTAGTCCAAATTGGTTTCCAATTACCAATATTGAAGCCAATCCCAGTTTGAGGTTTGTGGTCCCACAAATGGATCTAATTTTTTTTATTTATTTTTTTGGGTTAAATCAAGGATATGATGGACCCAACCAAAGGAGCGTCTCAACATCAAACCCACCCATGACCATTATACCCATAGGGTCCCACACAATCAAACAGTGCCTTACGATGCAATGGCCCACCATTAATGACACGTCATAATCTCTCTCTCTCTCTCTCTCTAACTTCTTGTGTCTTTGTGAGTCATGACAGGTCCGAAGATTCCATGTTACAACCTCATTAGTCGCCTAAATTAGCCAATCGTTGAAGCCCGCGTTTACTCTCTTTCTCTTTCTTTTTCTTTCTTTCTGCAACTGCATATGCATATTCCCCCTTCCAATTTCTCAGAAGATGGGAGAGAGAGAGACCCCATAGAAATTTAGTACACCTCTCTCTCTAGGGTCTTCTAATTTCATTCCTTTATTCAGATTCATCCACCATTTTCTTTCTTATTCTAATTAAATACCTGCATTTCTTTTTCTTTTTTTCCATTTCTGGGGATGAGTTGCAAAAACCCTAGAAATCATAGATTTGGGGGTACGTTCGTTCTCAGCTGAAGTACAAGAAAACAAGGATTTTGGGCTCGACCCATTTCGATTGAGAGGTTCCAGATTCAAAGGGATCGTTTGATTTTTGTTGAAAATCCCCCTGGATTTGAATAAGGGGGTAGATGCGGAGAAAACCCCCTCGAGGACTGGAAGCCCTAATCGAGATTGGAATCGTTCTTGAAAATCGAAACCCTTTGATTGTTGTTCCATGGATTCAACGTTTTCGACCTTGGGGTTTTTGATTTTCGGTATTTCTATCAGCTTTTATGCGTTTGTTGTCCAATCCCAGATACAAGATGGGAACAACGGTGCTGAATCATCATCTCCTGCATTCATGGTGTCACCACCACCGCCTCCGCTGCTATCACCACCTCCTCCGACACTTGGTTCTCCTCCCTCTCCAGGATCGCCGCCGCCCCGCCTTTCTTCCAATATGAGAAGGCCACCGCATCATCATGGTCATCATGGTCATCACCGTCGCCCTCCTCCGCCTCCGCCCCCTCCGCCACCTCCCCACGGGATGAATGCGGGAAAGAAAGTCGGGCTTTTGTTTGTGGGCATTGCGGTAATCATGCAGTTTGGTATGGTTGGGTTCTTGGTAATCAAGAGAAGGCAGCTTTTGAAGGCCAATGACAGATATGAGAATTGTTCTTGAAAAAATTTCCTGGGTTTTCTTATTAATTCTTTTTCTTTTAATTTAATGGGTTGATATTCTTTGCTGCACACGTTATGGTTGGGGAAAGGGGATATTGGCTGAGACTCTGCAGAATCTGGGAAGAACAGGGAAAAGCAAACATGAAGAGATATGAATTTGTGGAATCATTGGATCATAAATTGTGCATTGATACCCTCATTTCGGCCCTCGGCGTTACCCTGTATATTGGTATTTGTTAGTTGACGTTTCCTTCATGTTTCGTGTTACCCCTTATCCCTTAGTTCCATTACATTGGTTTATAATATAAAGAGGCCCCGCTGTTCTTCTTTGTTTTTTTTTTTTGCTCTAACAAGTTCAATGTACAAATGATGTTAGGAATCTTTGCAGCATTAACAATGACAAAATCTTATATTCTTTGTTTTCCCCCTCCAATTGATGTCAAGAGCCCGCTGTTTCAATTTATTCTGATGTCGTTGTGTCTAGAGTTCTGCTATTGCACTGCAACTGTTATTAATTATTCTGTTGTTGCTTCATATGGAATCTGTTTTGTAATGTTTTGCACACTCTAAAACCACCACTTTTTCTTCTTTTTCGGGTGCTAGATAAAAATGATTTTCTGCTTTTCCATCTAAAAAGAGTGAATTGTCTGATTGGCTGCAAAGGGGATTAAATTCAACCTTAATTTGGTGGAAATATCCACATGGAGTATTGTATATGTCTCGAGGTTGTTCACATTTTACAGTTTGTATTGTGTCTTCGGAGACTATTATCCGTAGGATTGTCTCTCTAGATGTGTTTCTGAAGGAGCCTTGACATTCTTTTCCTTTAATATGTTTGGTTTAACTTTGAAGAATTTCATCAAAAAAATAGAAATAAACATAAAAAAGGACTTTGAAGAATGATTCAGATGTGTTATAACCTTCTAGATCTTTGTATTTTCTTGGAAGCATTAGGAATCTGGCAGTATTCTGTTTATTTGATTTTTCTTCTATTTCCATCAGATCTTAAGAAATCATCAACCTCTTTCATGAAAATATGGTGGATTTCGAAGCTGATAAAATGCATATGATTAACTTGCATATTTAAACTTGCTATGTGGGCATTTGATAGCAACATTCTGTATATTGTCTTGAGAGTTATACCTATTTAAGCCTTTGGACGTTAGTTTTTTTTGTTATTAGGATGGTGAATGCTGAAAATTGCATATTAAAAGGGGATAGGATATTGTGACAACCAAATAATGTTACTACCAATGTTACTACTACATCTTAACCGTTGATTTCCGCCAATCAACGGTTATCATTTATTGCGAATTAATAATTAATTAATGAGTTTGATTTGAAAAATGATAACCGTTGATTGGCGGAAATTAACGGTTAAGATGTGGTAGTAACATTGGTAGTAACATTATTTGGTTGTCACAGTATCCTTTCCTTATTAAAAGTGCCAGATTGTTTGTATCATAACGTTTTCGGTAAATAATAATTGGGTTTGGTGTTTGTCATTTTAAATGACATAAGTTATGTCATTTTAAGAGAAAGATAGAAACAAAAAAAATGAAAATCATGGGAGAGAGAAAGTGAGTGATTTTTTTTTAATTTAAAATTTAAATAAAAAAATTATGTGTCTGACTCTCTCTTAAAATGACAGAATCTTATGTCATTTAAAATGACAAATATTTTTCCCATAATAATTTGCGCTCAATAAATCAATTGGATTTCTTTATGCATTTAGACTTTTTTTTTTTTTTTTTTTTTTTTTTTGCTTATCCTTTTTTTCATTTACTGGAGTCTATTTTTCCTGACGTCTCAGGTTTGCTCTTTAGATGATCATGTATAGTTTTTGCATCCAAGCTCATGGTATTACTTTGGTTAGAATAATGATAATATATTTTCTAATAAATCATAGTTTCTAATGTAGCAGCAAATGCTATGACGTAAGAGAAGTTGAAGATTCTGTGAATTGCCCGTAATTTCCGTAAGGGATGTTTCGTAGTTTTTAATTTTGTTGTCTGAACTTAGGATCATGATGCTAAATAAGAAAGTTAATTCATTTTGTTTGTTGTCCCGGGAGTTATAATGGTTAGGTTCTGAGTTTGTTCATGTGACTTAAATTGAGTAGTTTCATTGAGTTTGGTATTCTTTTCTGACCTTTCTTGCTCAACATGCGGACCGAACCATATTTATGGTATAAATGTATGGACAAATTTAGGATAGTTGAAAGGTCTGAACATGTTCATGGTCCATGGATCATATTTATGGTATAAATAGGTTTTGGTAGTAGTTGGGATCGAATTATACTAATGTTGGCACTTTTAAGAGTATTTTGCAAAATTAGTTTTCAAACTTACATCGGCAATAGAAGAATACTTTTCGATCCGTGTGATTTGTTAAAAAAAAGTAAATCAATTTAAAAAGAATTGTACTTTTATTGTTAAAATAGTAGGAGACAAAAGAAAAATGAATAATTAATTTCAATCTTTTCACTCTCACAATAAAATTATGTGATATCATTAAAAAATTTAGGTTATTTATGAATATGACATATTTTTTAGTGCTATACATTATTCTCTTTCTATGTCCTCAATGTTGTAATAATATGCATCAAACTAATTATAAATGGTAATTTCCATCCTTTGAACCTTTCAAGGGATTTTGTTTGAATATTTCAGAATAAAAAAAATAAAAAAATCGTTTAATAAGATATGTTTTATAAAAAAAAATTTAAAAATTGTAACTGTTTTCTTTATGTTGTTAGAATTAAATTTGGAGAACATGTCTAAGTTATTTTATTTTATGTTTAGATTTTTAATTTTCAAAACAAAAACAGTAATACATATTTCCATAATTATTTTATAAAATAATTTTAAGAATAAAAAAATCAGAACACAATTAAGCAAACCCAAATTTTCAAAACTTTTTTAAACCAGAACAATAAAAACAAAAGTTATTTTTTTTTTACAAAATAAATCTTATCAAATGAATTTTTTATTTTTTATTCTGCAAAATAAAAAAATTGTTTTTGGAAACCGTATCCAAATAGGTCTTCGTTTCTTAAGTTTGTCAGCCAGGAACTGCCAAGGCAATAAATTTCGAGTTGATTTTGTTCTGGCCAGTCACGTTAGATGCTGAGCGTGAGAAGAAGTTTATACAGGACAAAGATGTCAAAGATTTATTTTGGGTTATATTTTAGAGGTAGGATAATACAAAGATGATCAGAGCAGTATTAATTCATGTTACAACTTACTAGCTTGCTCTCCAAAGCGAGCAAGGTCCAAAAACAAGTTATTCGCTGGCATGCTCGTCACAGCGAGTAATCAATTTCCTCGTTCGGCTCCTCGCTTTAGCGAGCAAGGGTCCAAAAGCATGCATTTTGTTATTTTATGCTCGCTGATTTGTTCGTTGTGCAGCGTGTAGCTCGTAAACAAGGCACATGGATCTTTTTGTTATTAAAAGCACACTTAGGGTTTTTCCAATTTACTTTTGGACGATATGAAGAGGAAGAGGAGCAATATTCAGATAGGAGAAGAAGAAGGAACGTTCAAGACTTCACCGTGTTTACTGTTTACCAAGTTTTTTTCATGAATTCCTAAATATTTTTATCTTATGTTATGTTTTTTTCATGATGTTAGGCTAGTTTCCTTTTTGTAGTTAGGGTTAGATGGAACCTGTTGGAATTAATGAATGAATTAATGTACAATGATCCATTGGTTATGAATAAGAAGTGGGTTAATAAAAAAAAGAGAAAAAAGGGAAGATGAAGAGGTGTGTGGGTTTCAACAAGTCCCACATTGGACAATTAGTAGGAAATGGGAGAGTATATAAGCTCCCACTTCCCTCTCTTAGATTGGCCCTTGGGTCACTACATGTTTTATGTAGGGGGAAGAGCTAGGTGAGCATTGGTTCACCACACGCGCGCGCGCCGCCGCCGCCGTCCGTTCGGTTCGGTTCATAGTGTGTAATAAAAAATAATTTTTTATTAAATTATTTTTTAATATTTTGTCCAAAAAATTTACCGTTGCTTCCCTCCAACCAAAACGTTTCTACCCGCCGGATTTTTGAGCAGTATTGAACCGAACCGGTTCTTTCCCTTCGTGAACCAGTCACCGGTTGTGTCTGCTCGCTGAACCGGTCACCGGTTATGTCTGCTCGTTGGAACAGTCACCGGTCGCACCCGTTCGCCGCCATCAGACACGGCGGTTCGCCGCCGGCGACTGTTCATCGTGACCGGTCAGTGTCTATAAATAGACACTGACACATTCAGAAATCTATCCCAGTTTTTTCTGCACTTAAACTCTGCCGGAATTTTTCTTCTTCCGGTTTTGCATACTGTTGTTCATCCTCCGGTCTGACTTCCTCTGGCATATTGTTGTGTTCGTTTGGGCTGTTGATTGGTAGTGCCACCATTCTTCAGACGAAATCCGTTCTATCCTGGGAGACAAGTGTCCATCAACCTTAGGCGACAGTGAGGGGGCAAATTGTCTTAAGGAGACACGTTCTGTGGGCTCAGATTTAATTCCTCTGATACTGCATATATTCATCCTTTCATTCTGTCTGTTTCATCATTCTGCCACTGACAAGTAAGTCTGTTTTTAATATTTTTAATTACACAGTGATAATTCTGATCATCTACCTCCTCTGCTTTATACATGGGTTCAAATCTATTAGTGATATAATATCACCCACTGTCTTCAATAAGACAATAACAATCTTAAGACAATATGGTATTTTTAAACCTGTGATCAGTATTTATTTTTTCGTTATATATACTGTTTCTGTTTTATTTACTGTGTGATTAATCAGGGTTATTAATCTGTGTGATTAATTTCGGATTCTGTTTGTGTAACAGAAATGGCTAATGTAAGTACAAGCAATGCCAATGTTACTGCCTCTGTTCCAATGCATGCTGACAAGCCTGAAAAACTGAATGGAACAAATTTCAAACGCTGGCAACAGAAGATGTTGTTCTATTTGACAACTCTGAGTCTGGACCGTTTCCTCACGGAAGATGCTCCTAAACTGAATGAGGGAGAAGTGTCTGACAAGGAAAAGGTTGCTGCCATTGATGCTTTTAAGCATTCTGACTTCCTTTGCAGGAACTATATTCTCAATGCTCTAGACAACTCACTGTATAATGTGTACTGTACCCTGAAGACTAGTAAGGAACTTTGGGAAAGTCTGGACAAGAAGTATAAAACTGAGGATGCTGCCTTGAAAAAATTAATAGTTGGCAGATTCTTGGACTTCAAGATGGTAGACTCCAAATCTGTTGTGAGTCAAGTTGAGGAACTTCAAGTGATTGTGCATGAAATTCATGCAGAAGGAATGTCTCTTAGTGAGTCTTTCCAAGTTGCTGCTTTCATAGAGAAATTACCAAACTCTTGGAAAGACTTCAA